CTCTTATACTCACGGTTCATGGTGTCCCGTTTTACTTTCACACATTTTTGCAATCATTTGTTTCTTGTTAATAATTCGAATATAACAAGATATACTTGAGAAGAAATATAATGTAAGGAAATTACGGTCTATTGTTACTGCTACTTGGTATGCAGTGATACTTCCTGTTTCCAAGTAGTCGTAGATAGTTATGTTAAGATAGAGCTTCTTGTTATGAGAAGTGTGAATGTACTCAAAGTTAGAAATTTTGAATGGACGGATGGAATGTGAATTGATATTATAAGCACACCTGAAATTCTAAGATAATATTGAATTATGGTTATGATGTAAATCTACATATGACATTTCTCATATTAAAATATGTTTAAAGTAAATGATTTTCTGACCAACGTTTATCCTAACTTAAAGTTTTGGTATGAGTTTTTGTAAAAAAATACATTAAAAATCTATTTTTGACACTAGATATTGTTATTAACGCAGGATATACACATTGGCCCCCTAGTTTTAACCATCCGCCTGTCTGTTTTGTAAAATCAGTACACCACAATGTTATGATGCTGTGTCATCGCCATACCAATATTTGCAAGACATAAAACTAATCATTTTTTTTACAAATACTACTGTGAATATTTATAATAAGAGATAAAAAAGTCAGATTTTTGGAAATTGTGGTATAGTCACGCTTTAGCGTACTACTGTGGCGTAATCTTGTTGCCAGTTGAATTGTGTGCTCTTTTCTTGTTAGAAAAAAAAACACAATAACCTAAAAATTTTATTTAAAAATTCTATTTTCCACCTATAGACCCTTATTACGAGCCCAGTGGGGCTATTAGCTATAAGCTATAAGCGTCTATGTGGAAAATATTATATATGTATAAGTATGTACAAGCCTTAATCAAATATTATTCACATTATGTTTGATTTGATTAAGGCTTATTAACTTCTATATTCCTTGCTCCTTAAATGTATATTTTTTTTCTCTTTGATTTTTAATGGCCGACTGCACAGCACTCACTCAGTTTTATTAATCTCGACTTAGCAGCACTGCTAGCGCTGAGATCAAACTTAGTGAACTCAAAGCTAGTTGGAGACTTCGTGAACCGTTTAAACGCCCTGGGATGTAACAACAGGGTCGTTTTAAGATGGGTTTCGGGTCACGAGTGTATTGTAGGGAACGAATTTGCCGAAAAACTTGCACGGTAGGGCTCAAAGTGCACACAATTTAGACCTGAGCCATTTTGTCGAATCTCAAGAAGCCTAGCCCGATTGACCCTTGAAACTCTTTATCACAATAAATCACTTAAGATCTGGTCTGACACACCAGGCTTAAAACATTCTTAAACCTTAATCCGGGCTTTTGATCGTAAATTCGCTTCAGAAGCCCTAGGATTAAGTAAAAATAAAATGCGCATTCTGCCAAGAGCCCTAACTGGACACCGTTGTCTTAAAAAGCACATGTCCATCCTGGGACTCAGCTACTCAAGGATGTGTCGGTTCCGTTCCATAACGAAAGAAACGCCTCTACACATCCTAACTGATTGCGGACCCTTAATGCGCAAACGTAACACTCGTCTGGGAAACTATCTACTCCGCCCAGAAGAAGTGAAATTGCTCACGGCTAAGCAACTCCTTCGATTCATTGAAGACATAGGGCTTAGCCGTGAACTATAGCCATAGCAGTGACCACAATAGATCTTTTAGGTCGCAGTGATACTGGTCTCCTTACCTAGACCTGCATAGCTGCTCGCATATAACAAAATAGTCTTGACTTCATCCTCATCATCATCTTTACAGCCCTTCTTCACAAGTCCACTGCTGAACATAAGGTTCACCACCTTCAAGGAATGCCACAAAGCACGGTCGTGAGCCACCTGCATCCATTGACTTCCAGCATGTCTTACCAGGTCGTCACTCCATATAGTGGGGGTTCGCGCTACACTTCGCCTAACGGTTAATGGGCCTAACGGCCCATTGCATTAGTCTTGACTTATTAAATCAATTGATTGAAGTGGTTACACATTTTTTACTTTATTATCATCGACTCGCCTTACGTTTTGCCCAATGGAAATTACCAGAAAGATCTTATAACTTCCGATGGGTGGCGGTATTACCAACTCTTTGCACCGGTTGAAAACGCAGATGTCTAACTAGGCCATAGCATCCACTTACCACCCTATGAACAATATGATAGTTTACTTTCCTGTATAAAACACTAAAATAAACTCCCTCTTACTCTTACCAGTATAAAAAACACCACCCAAATCACGTGATTGCATTTTTCTCACGTCGCGGAGCCCTTAAGTTCCGATGGGCTTACGGGTAGTTATTTTTTGCTTGTGGATTATCCCGGCTCCAGACAAACAAGAAATTGATGGATGTAGAGTTCATAGGACCATGTAGTAGCTATCTTCGCGGAAAGCCTTTATACAGCGTTTATAGTGGACACGAATGGGCTGTAATGACGTCAATAAAATAAAAAAGAATATTTTTATTCAATATAGATTAATACATAATACTTATTGAAAGTCTTTTTTTTATATATATATATATATATATATATATATATATATATATATATATATATATATATATATATATATTATTTTATATTACTTTTTTAAAGAATATTAACAATGTTGTGCTATTAGGCTTGCGTTTGGAGAATAAATTATCTTGACAGTTCTGTGGCGCAGTAGCTCAGTAACGCATTGCAGCGCTAAGATAAGTAGTAACACTAAGTTCGGATCCCGAACAAGTATTTATATGGCCTACAAATATTTGTTTCGGTTTGGTATGATTGTCTTTGTGAATTTCATGTATATTAAATACACAGAACACAATTAGCCCCCACAATACCGGAAGAATTCCTAGTGTGAATGTAACGTCCTTCAAAAAAAAAATGCTTTGATGATGTGGGTATGCGTTTAGGAGAATTTCCCTTAATAGTCACAGCTATTGGAGTTGTCAGGCTGAATGAGACTCTCTATACGAGACTTCGCACCTTTGACGTAGCTCCCCGATGCCGGTCTGGTTATGTCTATTTTTGATTAAGAATCGAAATGAAAATGCGTTGCAACCTTTATTATACAAACTTATACGTAATTTATACGTGGTTCGAAGTAAGTAAAAAGTAAGTAGTTCGAAGTCATTTTGATTGTAGTACATTAGTATACTTAAATGCAAACAAATAGATTTTAAACAGATTAGATATAATCCAGAATAAAGCATTGCGTATTATAACTTGGGCTATGTGCTCTACACCACAGAATCCATGTAATGGAAGTAGAAAGTTGTATTCCTCCACTTTTATTAAGAAGGCTACAAATTGCTGAACGGTTTTGTGTTAAATTAATAAGTTCATAAATAATTTAGTTTAAAAAAATACTTCCTTATGAAGTTCCTGAGTTTGATGATAGCTCATACATTGATCTAAATATGCTTTTATCTGGTCGATTACCATGCTGCAGTTATACTAGAATTATAGTTGTAGCACGAGTGGGTCGGTTCGACCGGGGAAGGACCACGCTCTCACAGAATACTAGCGTAAAATAGCAGCTTGGTGCTGCTGTGTTTCGTATGGTGAGTGTAGAGAACCGAAGAGCCTTTTTACTAGAAACGAGGCATTCCATCTTGGTTCTCACGGGTGACAAGGCATCTACATTTTGATACGTAATCGAGGATAGATGTAGATGTCTATGGGCCACAGTAACTACTTACCATCAGGTGAACTGTGGCTTGTTTGTCGCCCTATCTTATAAAAAAAAACTCGAGAACTAAGATGGAATGCTACGGGAGAGGTAAAAAGATTCACAGGTTTTTGACAATCAGCGTATGAAACACAGCAGCATCATACTTCTAATTTAAGGTGGTATTATATGCGTGGTGCGTGTTAGTGTAGTGTAGTGTGGTATTTCTTCGGTCGAGTCACTCTACTCAGCTACAGGCGTCATAATACACATCAGCGCGGCTCAACTTTTTCGGATGTATTCCTCATATAGCCAGCAGTGAAGTAAAATTTTATACCATACAAAAATCATGATACCTCATTTTTATATTTATTCATTACGTTAATAATTATAAAGGTGACGCGAAGTACGCACATACTAAATTGATTATGGTAGTCTATAATTCAGACATATTAACATGAGAAAAAAATGATTTAGGTGAACATTAACCTTATGTAGGTAAATTGACAGTGTGAACCTCACTATTACGATGTTAAGATCAGTCCGTGATTTGATTATATATGACTTTTGTCAGGTATTGTGTATTTATAGTTTTTTATACTTTTTACTTTTTTTCTTTTTCTTTTTTTTACTTTTTTTTACAATTCAGGTATTGTGTTATTATAGTTTATTATAGCCTTTTTACTGCACGGTCTTACTGAGTATAATATTTAGAAAATAGATTCTTATATTAAATTAAATAAAACAGTTAATTTGAAAACAAGCAATGGTCATAGTAAGAGCTTTTAACACACCAGGATCAATGTTGTTAATTGTCACTGTAAACAAAAGATAGAAAAAAGGTTTGTTCTCATAATCGAAGTCGAAAATCAAAATGTTTAGAGTAAAAAGTCAACTAACAGATAAAAAAATCACAGCTTACAAAAACACGGGTAAACATAGTCCGACAAAAATTCAAAAACATTTCTTTTGTCCTATTGATTCTTGCATCAGTATATAACTATTGTATATTAGTCCACGGGGCTTGATGTCGACTATCAAAGGATTTGTACCTTCATCTTTATTGACGTGTAGTTGATGTTATTCGTAATTTTGTGTCGTAAAACTGTAAATGCTGTAGTACTCATCCGTTCATTACTTATTATAGGCTAGTTTTATATGCAATTTGCATTCTTATTTTTTACCTTTAATAGCCAGACTACTAAAATTAAATTTTTAATATGCAAATTAGCTAATTATGTAAATTATCATAAATGTGTTAAACATCCTCAACCTTAATTATTCCAGTTGACTAATATTATATGCATAAATAATATGTTTGAGGTATTTAACTTTTGCCGTGTAGTGGCGGTGAAAGAATAATATCCACTACCCCGTATTGTTTCGAAGGTGTCGAAAGAGGTTACAGATTAAAAATTAAACATGAGTACGGCAGCACCATCTTCCTGGAAGAACATGGCAACTATAGCAAAATCCACCCTGAGACAATCTATGATTAAGGCCAATATTCATCAGTGTACTTAAGGGTTGTAATTGATGGAATGTATTTAACTCAATTCATTTCACATTTTTTAAGAAGCAAAAACATTACGATTAATTATTGTAGTTTCTAAAATAAAGAGTAATTCCAGTAATTGAAATTATTTAACAAATGAATATTTCTGGTATTAGGTATTTATTTTTAAGAAGTTTTACCAAAAATAAATTGAAAGTAAAATCCGAGCACAATAAATATTATTTTTATATAAGGCTGTGTGTATGATATAATTGCTCTAGTTTTTATCTGAGTGTTTTATTTAGTAAGCTGAAACATCGATGGGCCGGCTCATATAGCTCGAATAACTGACAACCGATGGGGAAGAAAGTTTCTCGAGTGGCAGCCTCGTACCGGCAGGCGAAGTGTAGGGCGTCGCCCCACAAGATAGAGTGACGACCTGGTAATACATGCAGGAAGTCAATGGATGCAGGAGGCTCGGGACCTTGCTTTGTGGAGTTCCTTGAGAGGCTAATGATGACAATGATATATGAAAGTACGTTTGCTTGGCAGATATTACCACAATTTGCTTAATTTTTGTTATAAAATTAGCTAGAACTAAATGCCTAGAAAAATGCGATATGCGCCTACTAAGCGTGATACTTTAAAAAATACTTCCAACGTATAAGCTCCGATTCAGTATTAGATTAATGTTTATTTAAGCTCATTTTACTGCAAAGATTAATTAAGAAAAATATTATTGTGCAAGTAGTTTTTGTAGGCCACGACTGTATAATAAATTATTTAAAATAATATACACGCATATATATTTAAAATTAAACTTTTCTTTATTTGCAAGAGTTTTCATTTACTTATACCTAGTTGTTCGTGCGAACTAACACAGCCCATCTAAAAGTAAAAAGGATCTTATTGAATATAGGCACCTAAATATCTATTCTCAAATAAAAATTAAAATGCTGATACATTGTAACCACTGAGGATTTAGATGAAATGCTTTGTTACCAGTAGAACGGTCACTAGTGCTTGTCATTTACCACAAGAAACACATCATTATGCTGCAATTTTATGCTAGTCTTCGAAATCAATTTAAAAAAACGCGTACGCGCAAATCAGGCACATCGGAGATAGACCATGGTGGGGTGTCAAAGACAAAGACTCAATCGCAACACAACCAGATCCTAAAACCCATTTTAAAACAGATTTTTACAAGGTTCCAGGGCATTGAAACGATTTAACGACCTCTGCGACATGTATACGAGTATACTATAATATCAAGAAAATAATACTAATTTATAAAATTACTTTTTTTTAAACTTGTGAATCTCTGCTACCTTATAGTGCTCCAATTTCGTGTCACGTAGTTGCTACAAACCAGTGCTCATGAAATACTGCTTACAACCGCAAGTATTTCGATTATTTTAGGATAGTGTCCGTCGTAACGTAACCGTCCGTTGCAGTCATATTTCTTGCACATTTATTTTTTACTTCATCGTAATCTGATTTCTGATTATGAATATATCTGTGCGCAAGTACCTATGTGTTGTGTTCACTTCGTGCATAAACTTTAGGAGTAATACGGCTCACAATTATTGTACAAATTACACATATTGCGTTTATTTTAATTTAAAAAAATGTCTGTAGAACCTTATGGTTAGGATCAATTTTCCTAACTTCTTATCCGCAATTCGAGAGCTTACGGACGTTAATAATGATGACGATTGAATGGTTTCTGTCTACGCCAATTGTTTGCACAACCACCAGGGATCTCTCAAAATAATATTTATTGTTGTGTTGCAATAGGGTAGGTACCATGAGAAAATAAAAACTTGTAAATTTTTAAACGGTTGGAATAAAACATTTTTTTTAACAAATAAAACGCTAATTGGGTAAATTCCAAAAACCTCCTTTATTAACAATTAGTGTTATTTTCTTAAAAGAAATCAATTAAATGCAAACTTGTGAACGATTTGCGTAATTTTTTTTAACTTTTGATCATTTTATCAATATCTTTAACCTAGTTAACTAAATTTGTATCAATTAATTCAATTAATTTGCCTAATTTGATTTATTTAATTCAATTATTTATATATCTAGGAAATCATTAATTACATTACTTTATCATCTTTTTTAAGGTAAAAAGTTACCAATAAAAGCATTCGTAATTTTAGACAGAAAGTAGTTCCTTGCGAACGAGTAACATTCCTCTTCCAAATAATTAATTTTCTACCGTAGTAATAAACAATAATAAATAACGCTGCAACCATATTATGGATATGCTCGACTGGGGAAGAACCAACTTTTCACAGAATACCATCTTAATCCTCAGCATACATCTACCATCAGATGGGCTGTGTGCTCCTTATTATATATATATATATATATATATATATATATATATATATATATATATATATATATATATATATATATATATATATATGCGTAAAGTGAGAATCGAGGCCATTTATTATAAAATATTTTATGTATTAATTATAATCTGTTATAAAATCTGTGTGACTTTATGACTGTTTGTCTGTGTATTTGTGCACGCCTATCTCCACAAAGACTGAACTGATTCAGTAATGAATTTCGAGATGAAAAATAAAAAAAAACAAAAAAATAATTAGATGTACTTAAAAGAGGTAATATTATTAAAAATTGAGTATATATTCATTCATATAACAATTATCCTTATTTCATCCTTATTACATTTTATTTTTATTTTGTAGATGTCGGCCTACTGTGTCGACTTAAGTTTTAAGTGATACTTACATTTGGTTTCTCCTGTATTTGTTCAATGGTTCTTTTAGTTATAAATCATATACTACATAAAGTTCGAGCTGTTGTATCGATGATCACTCAAAATCAATAATATTTCAGAATCGCACCTGGTCCCCTCACGTATACTCCGATTCCTGGCAGCGGGTCAAGGGAACTCCTGTTTCCCTATACGCGGCGTACTACGACGAAAGGGCACCGCAACGCTATGTGCGAATTCTTGCCATTTTTCACGGTGAGTAGATACTCGTAACAGTATGGGTGTCAAATATTGAAATATAAAAAGCGGTATGTACGTTTTTAGGTATTTTTTTAAATATTTGCCTTAGATACATAATATATACACCAATTTTAATTATTTTTGTTTTCCAAGAAGTATTTGATTTTATTATATTTCAAACTTTTATTGATAATGCCGCCAAATCTCCTTAATTAATGTAATGTGGTTCCGTTCTAACCAAGGTAAAAAAATAAATAAAAAAATCTATTTCACAAAAGTAATAATAAACTAAACTCATAAATTGGCATTTGATACTATATATACATGAATATTGAATATAGATGTTAATGTTTACATTAACTAAATGTCCACAGTTTTTTGTGTATTTTGTTATGATTTGAAAATCAATTAAATTAAATAGACTGTCCGTAAGAAAAAAATACCGATTGATTTATGATGAAATGAAATTTATAAAAGAATAATCTTGAAACGGTTTCAAAACTATTATGTCTTATAATTTTCTTTACATAAGTATAGAATTCAATAAAATTATAGAGCAATATATACTACATACGCAGATTATAAGATAAAATCAAATGGTACATTTTAAATAGACAACGTTTTTTAAAGTTGAAGGAAATTAAATGCATTTTGAAACAATGTTTGATATAAAAATGAAATTGATGGATTCATATAGCTACCACCATTAAAATATTAAGAAATAATATAAATAATATTCCGATATATCTTCTTGTGGTATCCAAGATATTGTAATATAATATTTTTTTATAAAATTTATTATATTATAGATATTTTAAATCACTCGAAATCTTTTCTTTATTAATAAAATAATCGCATTATTTTAAATTTCATGATAATGTAACAGAAATGTATGTATGATAGTACACTGTGGAATTTTGTTTACCATATTGACAATGATGCGTAGCGAAGTGTATATGAGTTTGTAATAAAAGAGTTTTTATATGGTTAGTTAACGTACTTAATGACACGTGGCTCGCCTTGTAAAGAAAGTTTAAAGAATTTTTTAATGGTAATAAAATTACTTTGCATGCAAAAATACGGTCATGTAGTGGTGTATTAAAAGAATCCTCTAAACCATATTATCCTATCGGTGTCGTAAGAAGCGACAGAAGGAAATGAAAATGGAGATGGGGCAGCGTCTTCCTAATGACACCTCAAAATAATAAAAAACAGCAATTGCCAACCCTTTGAAAGAATCAATAAGGGATGCTTTTTTACACAGAGAAATGCCTACGCATACCCACCTTACGCGGCCAAGGACGGGTTACGTAAGACTCGCACCTACTAAAATCCCATGGTGTTTCATCTTCGCCGCATATTGGCAGGGTCATGGGAACGCTTCTGAATACATCCGCGACCTTACTCGTACCAGCGGGAAGAATTTCTCCTTTCCATTCTCCCTCTCAGGCAAGGCGCACCAGTAACACCAGGCGCACCTACCTCCACGGCCTTCAACACACCTGCGTAACGTACCCCCCGATTCCGATACGCAGAGGCCATAAGGCCAGGATAAACGAGCGCTCGGGAGCACCCGCTTTCCCTACCTCAACGGTGGAGCTGATCTCTGGCTCCGCATCCTATTCAGCGGTGGATTTTTGATGGGCTGTAACCATTGATTTATACTGTAACGAATGATGAATAAATGTATCGGTACCTTCATATTAATATATTTAACATTATGGTCAACAATAAAGATATTAAATCTTTATTGCTGTAACTATATGTTTTTTTGTTCACGAAATAAAACAATTCGTAGTCAAAAAACCACTGAGTGACTTTCATGCACATGATTTAATTGCTGATAAAGACATGTTTAAGTTGGAGCACGTGCCGCCGCCGCGAGTGTTTTCGTTTTTTTTTTTATTATGCTTACTAAACAGACTAACCGTGAAGACAGCTTCAGTATAAATTGTGCTAAGGAGATTAACTTGAATATAAAAATCTTGTTGTACAAATTAACAAATGGAAATTATGTTACTAGTGGTAGAAGCTAATACACGATAGACATACTCGTAGCTTTAACCGTAGCGAAACGTTGCGATGACGTATTCCTTTCATATTTGGCAGAAGCTTTATATTCAGTATTAAACTACTGTAAGTAACCATGTCACTGCGTTACCTCGTGTGTAATTTGCCGTTAGGTGGTAGCATAAGATAATTATTCACCCATTTTAATTATTGAAACGCCTTTTTTAAATAAATGCAAACAAGCACACAGTCCACTTGATGATAAGTGAATTTTGTGGTCCATAGTCACCTACGTATGTCCAATATTAACAGATGCGTTGTTACCCCAGAGGAATAAAAATGTCTCCTGTTCTCTACACTTACTATACGAAATTTCTTAGTCTTTACATGTCTTTTAATACTTTGAAGAAGAAGCTAAAAAATAAAAGAACATAAAATTTAAAATAATTTTAGTTTTTATTGTATTTGCAGGTCGAAACATTTCAGCGGGGAAACCATTATATTGTCAAACACGTTCTTTTAACTCTAGTGAAGACTCAATTGAAGTGGTTGCAGCAAAACCTTTGGAAATGTGGTGGCACGAATGGGATACTGCTTCAAGTACAGTGGAGACACCATTCTTACTCTCCTGTCCATTAACAGATAGTCTATATGACCTGTCTGTAGTGTCTATCGTTACTGAACCCTGCGAAGATCCTGGTAATGCATTTGTATTAAAACCCCAAAAGAAACTAACTGAATACAAACGAACATTTACAATATGCGTTAAAGATATGAATTTCAATAAGAATATGGCCCAAAACCTAATAGAGTGGATTGAAACCAACAAGATACTAGGCGTTGACCTTATTGACGTATACATTGATGAAATAAGCGAGGAGACTCAAAATGTCCTATTAAGATATAAAGATCAAGGGTATGTTAGATTATTTCACGTTCCTATTAAATATAGCTTTGAAAGATCCCTATGGCAAAGAAGAAGGGATCATTTAATAAGTTATAATGATTGCTTATACAGAAATTTAGCAGAATCAGAGTATATTGTACCGTTAGATGTAGATGAAATACTGCTGCCAAAAATAGCTTTTAATTTGTCAGAATTGCTGAGACGTTTAAGAAAATTTGGTTGGAACCCAAAAAAATATTCATCAATTTTAGTTCAAAATGTTTTCTTTTTTGATTTTATGCAAGGAGTGCATAAATATAAATTCTTTAAAAATGTTTTTAACAAGAGTAAGATGTATGTCAAACGAGATAATGTACGAATTAACGAAGCGATCAATATGGATGTAGAAAAAATAGAATTAGAAGATGATTCTAATACTTTAACTATGACTGAATTAGATAATTTAGATAAAGAAAATTTAAACAAATACGGAATTAAGTGTAAAAGGAAAATTCCTATTCCCAAATTATCACAAAATATTATTCGCTCAGCGTTAGTGAGTCCCGTTGGTTATTATAGTAAAAGTATGATGCTAACAAGAAGAGTATTAACTGCATTTAATCACTACCCTTTAACAAACCTTGGAATGACAGGTTTCGCCGGATGGTCGGCCCCATTCAGCGAAGTGCAGCTCAATCATTATAAAGTACGTAAATAGTCGATTTAATAAATAATTCGCTTTGTATTATTATGGAAATATTTAGCTTTATTGCTCTGTATTTTGTTAAATCTTTTTATAAAATCTATCTTTTAATAAAATGACTTTAAAAATACACTAGATACATTTATTGAGTTTGCAATTATGTCGAATTAAAAGTAAAAAATACCTCTAATTAAAACTGTTCCAGAGAGTAGAGTGTTAATTTATTTTCATCAATGGGGATTATTTTATTGATTTATTTGCATTAAATAAAATATAAATATATATTAATTTTTGGGTTTCGTTACATTTAAGCAAAATACAGTAAAAAATCTGTATGTTAATTCGTAATTATTTTTTAAATCACGTTTATTACAATTGTTGTAGAACTGTATCACATTTTTGTATTACCAGGAGTCGTGCAACACGACCATGGTGGCAGAGTGCGTGAGGTATGGACAACGGACTCGAGTAGATCGCTCTGCACTGCGACTGCATCCTCGGCTAACTCAGGCCCTCGCTTCTGCACTTTGCCATAAAATAAAAACGTTTTAAAATCATATGGTTTTTAATTTACCTGATCTGGGATGTTGTATTTTTGAATTTGCACATAAACTTAATATTAACACATATAGTATGGTATTTATTAAACCTATCAAAGCTTACTTCTGAAGAGGCCTTTCCATTAATTACCTCATATGGATCCCCCATATGAGGCAATTAATGGAAAGGCCTATTTGCCATACTAACCTCGCTTGAAAGGCGTATTGGTAACAGCAATATTTCTTATTTTGTTATTGTTATTAGGCAGACGCTGTTGCTCATCACCTGATTTATCTCCCTTAGTCGCCTTTTGCGCCACCCACGTGTCGATATAGTGAATAAATACTCTAAAACCGCCCACACGTTCAATAGTATGGTATGAAATAAATTATTTATTTTAATGTAAGATTGTCTCCAATTGTGAGATTCTGAGTTCGAACACAAAACTAAAATAATTTTTATATGAATTTTCTCTTCTCAAAATATAATTGACATGACACGAATAGTGTTGCCAGGTCTTAAAACTGAAAAGCCGGACAGACCAGCGAGCTTAGCCGGACATTTTGGTAAAAAGGCCGGACCCCTTAATTTTTGTCTTAGTAAAAGACAATTTTTTAAAGTAAAACAATGCTTTTTATCATTTACCGTAAAATCTTTTTAAGTGCCAACGAAATAACAACAATTGAATAAATCAGTATTCAATATTCATTACAATATTAAATTCGATAATTGCAATAGTATGTATGTAAATATATGACAAATGTAAAGAAATGGTCAAATTTAAAAAGCCTAACAAAAGCCGGACACCGTCTAATTTGGCCGAACACGCAACCAAAAAGCCTGACTGTGTCCGTCTTTATCCGGACGTCTGGCAACGCTAAACGCAAATAAATGCAAGACACCCATCTTTTGTCTACGTATCATTATAACAACGTGAAATATTTTCTTGAGTTATTAAGGGATAATTACATATATTTTTTTCTTATATGGTAAGTAGCTATAAAGTACATATACCGAATTGTAAGCTTTTGAAAAGTCCATTGCTGCAAACTTTGATTATTTCTTTACTCCCACACTAAGCAGGCTGATAGGCGAGGGTAGAGCTAAAATACTGGTGCTATCACGTTGCACTACATGTAATAAAAGTGTGTATTTGTGCTCATCATCTGTAGCATTTCAGTTCAATACTTTTGCGTCAGTCGATGTTCAGAACCTGGTCTGTCAAACAATAAGATGCACTTATAAGCAAAGAACAACACCACCATGTGTTGTCATAATATTTAATATGACCGTGTTAAATATTATGACAGCCAGCAGTTGCAGCTATATTATACTTTTAGCACGAATGGGTCGGAACGATAAGGGAATGACCATGCTCTTGCAGAGTACAAGAGTAAAATAGCAACTTAATGCTCTGCTCTGCTCTTTACAGTCAGTGTATAAAATAGGAGTCCCTTTTTACTGGTAATCAGTTATTTTAGCTTAGTCATCAGGACTGTTAGCTCGTTTGTCACCCTTATTCTATAAAACAATAATACTAAGTGATGAAAATAGAAATGTCCCTTCGAAACAAGCGTACCCTCTACAAGGTATGTATACGACCAGTCATGTCCTACGCGGGCCCCGTCTTTGCCCACGCAAACCCCAACATTTTAAATGAACTCCAAATAGTTCAGAACCTATTCTGTCGTCGAGCTGCGAACGCACCGTGGTACGTTCGTAATGCCGACCTTCATCGGGACTTAGAGCTCCCAACAATTCAACAATTTCTTAAAAAACTCTCTGAGAACTTCTTCAAAGCCTCAGAGTCGTACCCAAACCATTTAATTCGTGAGGCAGCTTCTTATGCAGCCCCACCCCCTCTCGCTATCGTGTCCGCAGGCCGAGAAACTCTCTCTCGGACCCGCCTAATAAACTTTCAAACGACCTGAACTGTCTCCTGGCGGCTCAGGCCAACTCTAATTAAATAAAATTATTGTAATATCTGACATTAATTTGCCTTCGTAGGCACTCCCTCAGCGGCACTTAGCCGCCTGCGCCCTCTTTTCCCAAAAGAGGGTCGCTCATGATAAGGCACAATAAAGCTTAATCAGCCGGTTGCCTGTCCCCAAAGGCGGTTTTTAGGGGGTATCACTTAGGGTCCCCGGTAGGACAGTGAGTCCCCCATAACCACGATAGACCGGCTATCGTGGTATGCGTAATGCATTGTCCGCCTCCCTACGTACAGGGTAGCCCTTTAATTGCTTCGGGCGCAAAAAAAAAAAAAAAGATGAAAATAGATAAACTATGTTTTATTATTTTAATTGTTAATTATTTAATTGTGTATATACAAACTAAATTTATTTCATTGCAATAAACAGTTTTAACAAAATTAACTATTGCAAGAAAATACAGTTGGAATGTTGCAGGTAGCAAGGAGCTAAGTCGTGTAGTTTTCAGACTGGTCCAGAACTGGATGTTGCTCGTAAAGCGCCTATCTCAGATAAATTTGACATTAATTTGCCTTGTTGTTTTTCCGTATAAAATATCTTCGCAATATTTATTATTGTAGAGGTTTTGGTTACATTTTCTAACAATATATATATTCAAATCAAAATTAGGTACAGAAGCTATAATTAATTAATTTGACAAAATCTTTATGTAGAACTGGTGTTTGTATTTTATACATATTTAATGCTCATTAAAGCCTGATATACCATTTTCTTCAATCGTTTCCTGTCTCTCCTATTGAGCCCATTTAACTAAAAATATTAAATGTGTAAGTAAGTATAAAAATTATAAATATTTTAATTGATAATAATTTCACTTTTTTATCAACTCGTTGTAGTTTAAGTAATGAGTTCGAATCGAACTTGTCGATCACAATTGTTTAAGTGCTAATTAATCGTGTGCTCTATTAATCGTGTACAATATTGACTGTGTTATATATAAAATATTATGAAATTGATGCTTTATTTCTATAATATTACTACTATTTGATACATTAAAAATTGAAAGTCTTTAATTTAAATTTAAAATATGAAAAATTTAATAGTCTGTTTTTATATGCGAATAATACACATTTATTTCCATTCTTTTAATGAAACTGTTTAAGTGTCATTGTACTGTAATATACAGAATGTTAGTGTAAACACCGTTATCCTTGAAACCAGTGGTTTGATTTCACTTATAAAACGTAAATTCATTGAATTTAAAAAAACTCTATTTTCTTTCACAAAATTTAAAAAGTTTCTGTCCGACAATTCATGGATACCCTATGTGCCCGAGTGACGTAGTCACTGTTAAGATCACCGCCCGCGCTAGCTACCTACTCAACATTCAAATAAAAACACAATAGGTACATATAACCTGTGATGTAACTTTTCGTTCATACTTTTATCCTGGCTTAGGAAAGGCAAAAATTGAGGAATTACGGAAAAACTGAGATTTTACTAAAAAAATGTTATTATTCATTGAATTTACGTTCTATAAGTGAAACCAAACCACTGGTTTCAAGGATAATGGTGTTTACACTAACATCCTGTATAATATACTTATGTATATAGTTTTATAACGTATAAATTTGTTATTTAACGATCTAGACTAGAGAAATTCAAACTCTACTTTATTTGTAAAACTAAATTTTAGTGCTAAATTCAATATGTGCTCGTTGGTTAAGACGAGCTTTTAGCACGATTTCAAATTAGTTTTTCACCCGCGCGTCCCCCAGTGGGCGGAGCGCAACCGGCTGTCGGAGAGCGCCGCGTGAACACAGTTGCGCAAAGCAAGCAGACAATTCACCTCCAAACAAAAACTTCTCCGTGAGGTCTACTGTTCTCAACACTACTAGGTACTATAGTAATAATATTTTGAGTACCTACTCACTAATATCAAAACTGTTTACAATATCGGTAGTCTGGACATCATACTATATTTTAATTATCAATATTTTTTAAAGTCAGTTTTATGATATGAGCAGTTAGTCAACTATTTACATACATAAACATTTAAAACGCCAACTCACAAGTTCTAAAAAAACCCAAGTTTCGTTGGCAAAATAGCTAAAATAAGAGCAAAAGAATAGTTTCATATATTAATTAGAAAATTCAAATTTATTTTACTGTTTTCTATTACCTTACCTCCGGACTTGATGGAGTGACCTGAAGGTGTACTTTGGTAATCGGTATTGGAACAGGTTGCCGAGTACTACTAAGTGTGCCGAGTTTGGTCTCGTTTTGTTAGGTATGACGAGCCCTTATCTCCGGACTTGATGGAGTGACCTGAAGGTGTACTTTCGCAATCGGCATTGGAACAGGTCGCTGAGTACGACTAGGTGTGCCGAGGTTGGGCTCGTTTTGTTAGGTATGATGAATCCTTAACTCCGGACTTGACGGAGTGACCTGAAGGTGTACTTTGGTAATCGATATTGGAACAGGTCGCCGAGTACTACTAGGTGTGCTGAGTTTGGGCTCGTTTTGTTAGTTATGACGAGCCCTTACCTCCGGACTTGACGGAGTGACCTGAAGGTGTACTTTGGTAATCGCTAATGGAACTGGTCGCCGAGTACTACTAGGTGTGTCGTGTTTGGGCTCGTTTTGTTAGGTAAGATGAGTCCTTACTTCCGGACTTGACAGAGTAACCTGAAGGTGTACTTTGATAATCGGTATTGGAACTGGTCGCTGAGTACTACTAGGTGTGCCGAGTTTGGGCTCGTTTTGTTAGGTATGATGAGCCCTTACCTCCGGACGGACGGACGGACGGATAGCGGAGGCTTAGTAATGTCTAATGGTACCGTTGGTTACCCTTTGGATACGGAATCCTAAAAAACTTGACCAATTAACAGCTTGAAAAAATATATAGGTATTTTTATCCTGGTACCAATTATGGTCTGAAAATATTTTCTTTCATTATTGTGAACATGTTATGTCGATGAAAAGTTTGTAGCGATTATTATGACCTAAATGTTAAGACCCGTGTCTTAATTTTAATTTACAAGTATCTGTGAGTTATACGCTTTAATAATAATTTCGCAA